AAAAAAAATTTTTTTTTTGGAGAACACTGTCGAATGCAAACATTAACCGTTTTTCAATTGAAAATAATAATGCACTGAACGTTTGGGCCAACAAATAATTTATCCATCGATTTTTGACGCCAACTTAACAGTCAATCGAATGTGTGTGCGTTTAAACCAGTAAATTTTTTAGAGTAGTCTACTTAATTAAACTTTTCCAGTTAGAGTAAAATTATTTGCATCAGCTTCATCAGTTTTATAAAAACTTAAAAAATTTTGTTTTTATACCATTCGTAAACAACTTTCAGCTTTTAGCTTTTTTTTTTTTGCTATTTGTATCAACTGGTAAACAGTGTTATTCAACACTAATTGCCAACTTCTATTTGACAAAAAAAATAATAATAATAGGGAACCAGTGTTGTGCAGTTAACAATAATGATGTGTAATATTATAAGGTAATTTGGACTGTATAGAAGAATGAAAGAAAAAAAGTAAGATATACACTAAGATCATTTATTACAGACGTCAAAATGAAAAGATTTTTTATTGTCTTTTGGTTTTTTTTCTTGCTTATAATTGTTATGAAACTGAACATTTATTAAAAAAAAAAACGAAGAAACTGATGCAATATATTTTACTAAAAAAAAAAATGCACATTCAAAAGAACACTCCAAATGGAACTGTACAAGAAAAAAAGAGCAGAACTGATGTAAAACTGTTGTTGGATGGACGCTTTAAAAAAAACCTTCAAAAATTTTATTGTCAGTTCTTTTTTTTTCTTCTTTTTGAACACAAATTTTATTGGGCATTATATCAATGGAAAATTAGATTGGAGGAGAACAGTTATTCAGATGCAAAAAAGTTGAGAGGAGGGAAAAGAAGGAGGAAAAAGTGGACCGGAAAACTTAGAAGCAAAAATTTCCATTTACACTTTTTTCCTTTGTTTTCTGCTTTTTTTTTTCCCACATCAGAAGATTTATTACGACAGAGAGTAAATACAGAGGAAAACAAAACAAAAACTGTTGATGATAAACAAGTAAATTGAAATTAATTCTAATTTTTTTAGAACATAGAATGTTCTGAATTTTACCTGAACTGACAAATCGCTACAAGTAGAAACATAAATTCTGTTGATACATAGCCAAATTTTATGCAGAAAAAAAAGAATCCTATAAATCCATTAGTAAATAAAAGTAATTTGTTGCTGTTTTTAAACTGCTTCCAACAGGTTCCTGCAGCAGCTCAATGTTATAATCTTAAAGAAAGTTAAATTTAGCAGATATTGAACATCTACCAAAAACTTTATTTAAAGTGTACTAAAACCATTGATGTCATTCGATGCACACAAAACTTAGTCTATAGCTATTTATATAAAATAGATTCTTTTTTTAGCGATTGCAAGAACAGTATCAGATGCATGTTTATGTATCTGAACTTGAAAGCGACTATTAGAAGTTCTATTAATGAGCTAAACTTATAGCTCTCAAAATCGATGAATATATTTATTAGCACAATTCTTAGCGTGTTTTTGCTTAAAAAGCCAAAAAAACCAGAAAATTAAGTCGAGAAAAAAAAAAAGTGAATAGAATACTGGTGAAGTAAAAAGTATACAGTTTAAGATACCTCAAATTTTAGGTGAAAACTTGGCATTAATAAATAGCAATTGCAGTAGTAGCAGCAGCAGCAACAGCACCAGCAGCTATGACAACCAAAAAAATGTAAAAAATGCTGTCGAATAAACGTTTAACACTTATTTCAACAACACTTTGGCAACGTACACATAATAAGTGAGAGAAAATTAGCGAAAAAAAGAAAAAGTATCAACT